AAGGAGACCTCAGATTCACCGTGCAGACAAAACACGGGTGGGGAAAAACTGAGCTGCTCACCTATCCAAGATACTGCAGAGTTCACTGTATTTTTATCCCAACGGGAAAATCACAGACTTCGGTTTTCAAACATCACTTAGGACAAAGCAGAAGAGAGTAAACAGCTTCATCTCCATGGCAGCACTGTAAATCAGACTAGTAGATGTCTACACAAGGATCCACGTGTCCAGTTCTCAGCAATGCAAAACTTATCTTAATGCATTATTTTGCTTATACTGATTTTTAAAAAATTAGTTGAATTTGGCGAATTTGTGGTAATGTAAGTGGGAAAAAATGCAACATTTGTACAATATGTTGGAAAAAGAGAAGACAATTTCTCACATTTTGGGAGCAAAACAGTTACTGAATGGATTAAGCAAAAGTGAAACAATTCACATTTACAGCACATTTGATGTATATAATCTCTGTAAACAAAATTTTAAAGTCATAGGGTACTTTATTTTTTTGTGTGGTACACAGGGATTTCCAGAATAGTAAGAATTTTTCAGAAGTTAGAGGCATAAAAATTAGCAAGGAATAGTAAACCCTCAACCTTCTGTATTATAACTAATGTCGTTTTTATTTTCTGCTTTCGATTTTTATATTTTTATACAAGTTTATTTTAGGATTTAGTTCCAAAATTCAACCTCTAGGTATATTACACAGACATGTTCAGTACAATTTATTTCAATTTTAATGCTTAAAATATAAAATGGAAAACACTGGGATACAAAATTATAAATATTAGTCTACTCTTAAGATTCAAATATCATCAAAGATCAAATTATATTCAATGTATTGAACTTTTCAGGCTAGAAAACATACTGGTACATTTTATAGATATTTTGCTTTGGATGAAAACCAGAAAAGGTTTCTGGTTAACTTTTATTTAAGAAATGTTCTATTTCTATCACGGATCAAGAACACTAAAGTTAATTTGGATTTTATTGTAATTTGTCTACAGCATCAATAGAAACAGAGATGTCAACCATCTCTTCTAACTCTTACTGGTGCAATGCCTTTTTGTGTAACTCCTATTTTATAATTAGAAAAATCTACAGAATAAACACACGGAGACTTAGGATATGGTAGCTGAAGCTATGAGATATTGGTGTGTTTTTTGTTTTGTTTTGTTTATTTGTGTAGGTGTGTGTGGTCATGAATATAGATAAATCAATACTTAAACTATATCTTCTAGTCTCCACTATAACTTCTACTGTTCACTCGGTAAGTGGTGTAGCATTTTAGCATTTGAAAGGTTTAATAATCTTACAGATTGCTGCTGTTTTTAAGTGCTGTCATGTCAGTTCTGACCCAAAGCAACCCTATAGGGTTCTCGAGTCTATAAAGCTTCTTGGGAGTAGAAAGTCTCACCTTTCTCCTGTACAGCGGTTGGTGAGCTTGTGTTTTGCAGTCCAATGCTTATCCTACAGAGTTACAGCACTCTCAGCTTTCCAGATACTGAGTTCTAATTCACTCCTTGTATTGCTGGGGTCCTGGTGTGGCACTGTGGGCTAATGTGTCAGACTGCAAAGTTCTTTGAAGTGCAAGCTTGGTGGTTCAAGCTCACCGGCCACTCCTTGGAAACCCTATACAGGTTCGCTATGGGTCAGAATCAACTTGACGTCACTTAACAACAACATTACTGGCTTAAATATATATATATATATATATATTGATTTAATAAACCATTTTTCCATATGTCTCAAAAACAAAAATGTATTGAGAATGATCACATCAAATCTAAAAGAAACTTAGAGCCCAAAGAAACAACTTTCAACCCAGTGTATATTACAAAGTCAAGTAAGAAATAACTGAGCAAGTTTGAAGTGTCTATCAGGAAAACATCTTGCAATTTTATTTGTTGAATGAACTTAAGGAGTCGTGAATGACATACTAAGTGGCTTGCTGCATCACAGACTAAAGTAAAAGAAAAAATTTAAAAGGTTTTATTGTGAGATTTTGTAACTAAGGATATCAAAATTCAAAAGCACTCTGTGTTTAATAGCATCCTACCTTATTTAGCTATTTGTTGATATTTTTCTGGTATCTCTTTTGAAAGCTGTTAGCTTTAAAAATTTAATAAGCAAATAAAATAAGAAAATTTTTGTAATATTTATGATTGTGCCGAGTACTGGAGAAGTAAAGAATTTGGTTCTAGCACCAAAGAAAACCAATTAAAGTGACTAAATCAGTAAATTTTACTTAAAGTTTTAATTTGAGAGATTTACAACACTAGACTTAGTAGTTTTAATTTATTTACTTTAGGACAAATGCTTACAACTCTCTTAGCTCTCTGCTTCATTTAACTATTTATAAATTATGTGATTACTCCAAACTCATGAAAATAAATATTGCCGGATGCTGAATTTCCCCCCTCTCTTCTTTTAATACAGGAACAACCTGTTCTAGCTGCTTCACAGCCGAGGATTACCTATGGCAGAGCCATCTGGAGTGGGTACTATTCACAGCTGCTACTGTGTACACAGAGTATATTGTTTGTGTCCAGTGGGTGTGCCGATGTGTGAGAGAGACAGTCAGGGAGAGGGAGATAGGAGAGACATTACATCCTGACAAAAGCATCGGAAACAACAGACAACATAATCATGCCAAAAAAATGGGCAATTCAGGCCAAAGCAGATAGACTTTTAGATTTAATCTCTAAGCATTAAGAACATAGCTAAAGTCTTTGAAACAAACAAACAAACAAAAAGGCTTTTTGTTATTATTATTATTATTTTTTTAACAAATTGAGTTGTCCAGTATAACTTGGGGTGTTAATGTTCTGGTATGATTTCTCCACATATGCTTAAAATTTGCAAACTTGAACTTCAGAAACCCAACACAAATAGATACTGTGATTTTTGTTGTTGTTGTTGCACAAATGACATTTCTGAATTTCTGGGCAGAGAATACATAGACAGACTCTTTTCTGGCTCATTGTTGTTAAGTACCGTGGAGTCGGTTCTGACTTATAGTGACCCTGCACAGGGTTTCCAAGGCTGCAAATCTTTATGGGAGCAGAAAGCCTCATCTTTCTGCTGGTAGTTTCGAACTGCCAACCTTAAGGTTAGCAGCCCAATTCGTAACCACTACGCTACCAGAGCTCCTTAGAGGGAGTAAATTCAGAGAAGGCAACTATCCCCTTTTTCCACATCTAATCTAAATGTAAGATGGCAACCAAAATTCTCCTTACAAATGAAAACAGGAAGGGAAACTTTTGAAGGGCACTAGTTTATTCACCTGTTCCATACTAACTCTAGAAAGTGTTCTTATTTGGGAACAGGTATGTGCTAAATCCAAACAGGCATTTGCTCTCAAGAAATACAGCCCACCTAAATCTCAAACCATATTTCCTCTTCTTTCATTGAATTTAAAGTATGAACTATGATGGTATTTCTCTTAACATAAATAAGATTCTAGGGGTGCTTTTTAATTGAGTAACTAGAGGGCATTTTTGTTGCTAAGTGCCATAGAGTCAGTTCTGATTCCTAGCCACCCTGTATAGGGTTTCCGAGGAGTTTGAACCACCAACCTTGCAGTTAGCAGTCCAGTGCTTGTCCTACAGGGCCACACCAGTACTCCTAGTTAGTACTAGTCTCATAAAAATACTGTAAGGAAGCTAGCGTTTGTTCTCTTCAGCATTGACTACATTTAGAGGCTACTGAACCAAAGCAAAAGAATATAGATAACATCCTGTTTATAGGGGTCTAAATTAGCCATTATTCTTATTACTCTCGGTGCTTTTCTTCATTTTCAGCATAGAAAAAAAAAAAAAAGTGCTGGGTAGATGACCATTTATAATTCCTTATCAGAAATTTAGCACTCTATATAGAATGTTACTGGAAACAAAATCACATAACATAAAATTTAATATTAACAACAATTTGATCATTTTAAAAAAATTCACTCCCATGTACTTCTTGTAGGGTAAGAAAAAAAAATCTAGTCACAAACAGAGCTGCACCTTGCCTTCAGTGGAGGAAAACCTGTATATTTTAATCTGTATTTTATATAGCTAGTATTCATATTGAAAAGCTTAGCTAATTTTCCTAATACAAGTGTCTTATATTTGTTAGCAAGTACAACAAGGCTTATAAAAAGGGTTATCTGCAGGTTTATAAATATTACTTGATATTTGGCATTTTATGCACTTACATGGTTTTATTTAATGTCATCTGACCTTGAAATAAATCAAATTTGTTTTGACTTTTATAATATTGTTCTTACTACCTACTTGAATTTTGTGCAGTAATAGCATTATTTCAATAAACAAAACATCACAAACAACAACAACAAAAGCCAACAAATTAATTGCCGACAAGTTGATTCTGACTCATAGCTGACCCTTTAGGACTGAATAGAAATGCCCTACAACATTTCCAAAGCTGTCATTTTTCATGGAAGCTCACACTCCTTTCTCCTGCACTTCTGCTGGTAGGTTTGAACTGAAGACCTTTGGTTAGGAGTTAAGCATTTAACCACTGCTCCAGCAGGGCTCCCTTATTGCAATAGGACTAGAAATTTCAACAGTGTTTTTCTAATAGTGTTTTTGCTGTTTCTAATATAAAGCATGGATTTTAATTGAAATACCATAGTGTGATAAATTGAGGCAGTAATACAAAATGACACATGTATAATGATAATGCTATTTCAATAATCAACATCATATTTTTTTTTAAAAACCCAGTGACTATTATTTTCATATAATTAAGGTTGTAAATATCGAGTGAAGCTTGCTTCTCTTCTCTTGCTCTCTCTTTCAACTACAAATGACATTTTTATTTATAAGTTCCCAGACAATTCTTAATAGCAATTTCCTATATTTAAGACTTGCTTCCTATTCATAAGTTCTTTCTTTTCCAAGTTTCCTAGAAAAGCATTGCAAGTAAGCTTTCACACAGACCCAACACTTATGAATACCCTAAATGTATACATGGGCTCCCATACGCCTTCCCTTTCAATCTAACACAGATGAAGGGGCAGGACGAACACAGCAGTTGGGGCGTCGAAAGTTCTGCAGCATGGACTGGAAAACACTATGCTGTCTTCCTTTGAGCTTTTTGTTTGAAGAAGTATCTGAGGAAATGGATCTGCGGGTTTGGTCACTTTGGACTTTGATTAATTTCTCATGTTCCCTGATTTGTCTTTGCAAATGGTTCTGGATCGCAATACCCAAGGACTCCGGGTCCAAGGAAGCACCATACACCTCCCAGGTCATGCCCTGCTCATCCCACACCACGTCTCGGACGCGTTTGGACTGTTTCAACTTGGAGTCAGCACCAAGCTGCTTTTTCTTCTCTCCTGGGGTGAGTCCGACCTGAGCGGCAGCAGCTGTCACGTTTAACTTTTGCTCCTTGAGGAACTCGCTGACCCGGCTGCCCCGGCGGGGACTGGCTTTGACGGAGCGAGAAGGGGTCCTCTTGCCAGAACTTGGGCTGGAGTCACCCATAGAATCAGAAGGCAGGCTCAGGCTTGTAGCTGTCTTGGTTTGCTTATTTTCTTCTAAGGTGCTTTCCTGGTTCTTCTTCATTGATAAAGGGGTGGAATTAACAGTTGATCCTATGACTCTACTTTCTTGAGATTTGGAATTGAGTAATGGGGATTTGGCCTCTGCCTTTGCATCTGGTGGATTAGTGCCAGCAGACTCTGGTTGTTTTACTATCTGAGGAGATGCAGGCTTCTTCTTTCCTGTACCTCCTTTCTCAGTGGGATTCAAGTTCTCAAATTGGTCAGCTTTGTGGGTGGGGGCACAAGTGTTGGATAGTTTGTGATCTGTGTCTGTTTGTTGGTCATTCATGGTTTTCACTATAAACTCAGATGGCTTGACTTCAGATTTCTCCATTTCACGACTGATTTCATCTTGACTGCCTGAACAGATAGAAATCTGGTCAACAGGTCTAACTTTCAGGGAGCTAGAATTAGTACCTGAAATCTGTTTAGAGGTTGTCTCTTCTCGCTTGGACGTCATCCCTGCTGACCTTGTATCTTGAGCATTATTGGATGCCACATTGACTGGTGAGGTTTGAAGGACCTGGCCTGGTAAGCTTATTGATTTACTTTCCCTTTGCAAAGCTTTGGAACCAGCTGCAGCTTCTTGGATGTGCACCTCTGGCATGATACCACAGCCCTGACCTGCCTCCTGGGGGGCTAGCATGCTGCCAGAGAGCTCCAATGTGTGGCTCCCGCTGCCAATGCCATGGCAGATGACACGCAGCTGCTCTTGTTGTTCAAAATGTTTAGAAGCAGGGATCTCCTTTAAGAATGCAGTGAGGATGCTGGGGCTGGTGGAGACAGCTCTATTTTCAACACTTGCCACTGCCTGTACCTCGGCATCTTGCCGAGTTCTGTTCGGAACGTCCTTGTTCTCACTTTCAGCTTGGTTGGTCATTGTGCTTGCCTCTTTGAACCTTGACACCTGATGCTGTGCTGTCAGCACCACCTTCTCTGGCTCTGGAGGAACCACTGAACATTTGCTAGAGAGGTGAGATGGTTGAGGTGTGACAGAAGTCACTGCGTGGGTGTCCAAGGCAGTGGGAAAGGGCTGATTGTTTTCTGAACATGCAAATGCCCTAACTGGAGATTTGCAGGGTGTTGGCTCAGGGTCACAAATGCCTTGCTGACTCTCCTCTTCAGGCTCCCCTACAGTAGAAGCGGAATGGTTGGACACTGGAGTTGCTATATTGGGAGTTTGCACCATATCCTGGATTGTGTCTTGCAAAGGAATATCACAAGATACTTGATCTTTGATGTTGCCACAAATGCCTCCTGTAGCAAGACAACTTGACTTCTCAGGTTGCTCTTCACTCTGTGATTTCACCTGGACACCTTCAGAGATGGATGAGGCGCTGGCATTGGACTGATCATCCAGCTGGGTGGCTGGCATGGTAAATGGTGCTTGTGTAGGAACTTTACCTGCTGCAGAATACAGAGCTGGTGCTGTGGGCATGCTGTTTCCTGACAGCTGGGTTTTACCAGAAGAGTTGAGTGCGGGAGGTGCCGTCTTCACTTCATTGAAGACACCAGTAGAAGACATGTCTGGCTGGGTCATCTCATGCTCACAAGCCTGCATCAAGGCCATAGATGCTGCCCTGGAGCTGAAGTCTGGCTCTGTAGGAGTCCCTGAAAGGCCATTGGTATTCTTACACAGGAGGATTTGTCTGTGCTGAGATGAGGCAGAAAGAACTTCTAGATCCTCTTCTTTTCCAGAAGTAGCAATCAGGGAAGTTTTAGCAGATCTCAGGGGATCAGGTACAGTACCCATGGAATTTTTCTTCAGGAAAACTCCAGACCTTTTCCCTTGGATAGTACTCCCAGTAGGAAGCAGTTACGGCTTACAGGAAATACACAGTCAGAGATGAGTCCCCTGAAGAACCAATCTGTGGATTAAGTAAAAAAAAACAGTACCATTAGCAAGGAACATCATTTAAGGATTTAAAAGTATACAGAGCTGTCATTTATATAACATCTCATAAGCACATTAAACACCTCATTCCCATGTTTATTTAATATAAGCAAAGTTATTGAAAAGAAATGATTTTGAAAGAATAATCTTAATTACACAAGTATTATTTCAATGTATTTTTTTCTGCTTCCTTGTCTAGCAAAGAGATTTTTAATGCATTTACTGAAGGATTTCATGGTGGTGGTGGTGGTGGTGGTGGTGATGTGCCATGGAGTCAGTTCTGACTCATAGCGACCCTGTACAGGGTTTCTGAGGCTGTAAATCTTTACAGGCACAGAAAGCCTCATCTTTTTCCTGCGGAACTCAGTCTCGAACTGCTGACCATGAGGCTAACAGACCGACTTGTAACCACTATGCTAAAATCATTTGTGTAATCTGCCTGATCATATTCAGAAAATACTCAAAACTACTGTAATTAAATCAGTAAGTGTTAAAATAGGAATAAACAATTATATAGATGAAAAAGACTATATAGATGTAGATCTAAACAGAAATGAAAATTTAATATATGATCAAGGAGACATATTTTTCTATTTAGTGACAAAAAGATGAACTACTTAATATAATGATCTGACAAATTGTTTATTCACCTGGAAACAAAGAAAACTAGACCTTCATCTTATGCCATTTCGAAAAATAAATTATAGATGTATATATATATGGATTAAAATAAAAATATAAAGTACCAATAAAGTATAAAATAAAAAGTATAAATATAAATATAAAGTAAAAATCCTGGAAGAAAATCTACTGTCAGATGCCATCAAATTGGTTTTGACAAATAGAGATCCTCTGTACAACAGCTGAAACACTGTTGTACACCACCCCTACAATCATTTTTATGTGTTGCTGTTGTTATATGCCGTGGAGTCGGTTCTGACTTATAGCAACCCTGCACAGGGTTTCCGAGGCTGTAAATCTTTATGGGAGCAGAAAGCCTCATCTTTCTCCTGTGGAACAGCTGGTAGTTTCAAACTGCTGACCTTGAGATTAGCAGCCCGATTAGTAACCATGACACTACCAGAGCTCCTAGAATGAGGTCATTGTTTCAGTAGCTGTGTGAATCCATCTCTTTGAAAATCTTTCTCTTTTCCTCTGATCCTCTAAGTACCATGAATGATATTCTCAAGGGAGTGTTCCTTCCTGATAACATGTCCAAAATACATGTGACAAAACACTGCCATCCTTACTTGTAAGGAACTTACTGGCTGTATTTTTACCATGACACATTTATGACTTCTACTGGTAGTCCATTATACAGTCAACAGCATGCGTCAGTTCTTCATTTCTTTTCACATGTATACATTGTTGTTAGGTGCTGTCCAGTCAGTTTCACCTCATATCGATGCTTTGCACAACAGAATAAAAAACGGCCTAGTCCTGGGCTATGCTCACAATTGTTCTTACATTTGAATCCATTGCTGCTGCTACTTTGTCAATCCATCTCATTGGGTGTCTTTCTGTTTTTCAACAACCCTCCATTTTACCATGCATGATGTCCTTCTCCAAGGACTGGTACCTCCTTGACAACATGTCCAACGTATAAGATACGTTGTTCTTGCCATCCTAGTTTCTAAGGAACATTCTGGCTGCACTTCTTCTAACATAGATTTGTTTATTTTTATGGCAGTCCATGGTACTTTTGATATTTTTCCACAACCACCTAATTTAAACGCAAATGCATTGATTCTGCTACAGTCTTTCTTATTCATTGTGCAATGTGAGATGCATATGAGATGACTGAAAACCCCATGGCTTGGGTCAGGGGCACCTTATTCCTCATAATTTTATCCTTGCTCTTTACCACTTTAAAGAGTTCTTTTACAACAGATTTGCCTCATGCACTATGTTGCTTGATTTCTTAACTACTGCTTCCATGAGTGTCAATTATGCATCCAAGCAAAATTAAGTCTTTGGCAGTTTCAATATTTTCTTCTTTTATCATGATATTATTTAGTGGTTCAGTTGTAAGAATTTCTGGTTTCTTTACGTTGAGGTGCAATCCATATAAGAACTGATTATAGATAGAAATAAAATGAAAATATTGCATTCACAACTGCAATATTTTCTATGTTTAGAATGATGCTTTTATTGGTACATTTATGGAGAATTTTGTTTTCTTTATGTTGAAGTGAAACCTATACTGAAGTCTTTGATTTTCATTAACTAGTATTTCAACATCATTGTTGAAATGATGAGGGATCCTACTTCATGAAATGACTGAATGTCAAACAGTGCTTTTTGGTACAGCGACTCTGTGTATTCTTTCCATCTTTTTTTGATGCTTCCTGTATTGTTCTATATTTTGACCACACAGTGTTACAATATTGCAAGTTGAGGTTTGAATTTTTTCTCTAATTTTTTTCAGCTTAAGAAATGCTGAGTGTATTCTTCTTCCCTTTTTGCTTTCTAACTCCAAGGCCTTTGCACATTTCATTATACTATTTCACTTTATCTTCTTAAACTGCCCCTTGAAATCTCTGTTCAATTATTTTACTTCAGTTTTCTTCCCATTTGCTTTTTAAGTACTCTACATTCAAGAACAAGTTTCAGAGTCTCTTTTGACATTCATTTCGGTCTTTTTTTTTTTTTTTTTTTTAATGAACTTTTGCTTTCTTCAGTTATGATGTCCTTGATGTCTTCAGTCACTAATGTTCAATGCATGAAACTAATTCTTGAGATAGTCTCTAAATTGAGGTGGTATATACTAAGTTTGTATTTGTGGACTTGTTTTAATTTTCTTCAGCTCAACTTGGAACTTGTACATAAACAATTAATGGTTTGTTCTACAAATAACCCCTTGTCTTGACTGATGATATTGAGCTTCTCCATTTCTTTTCATAGATGTAGCAGATTTTATTTCTATGTGTTTCATCTGGCCAAAATCTCGAGTATAGTAGCCATTAATGTTTATTAAAAAGGTATTTCAAATGAATAGGTCATTGGTCTTGGAATATTGTATAATGTGATATCCAGCATCTTTTTTATCACTGAGGCTGACGCTATATTTTCCAACGACTAAGCCTTCTTCTTTGTTTTTAACTTTTGCATTCCAATCACCTGTAAATTATTACTATATCTTGACTGCTTGTTTGATCAATTTGAGACTTAAGAAGTTGGTTAAAATCTTCAACTCCTTCATTTTTGGCATTAGTAGTTAATAAATTTGAGTAATACTTGTATTAACTCATATTCTTTGCAGGAGTCTGGGTATTATCCTTTTACTGACAGCATTGTATTTCAGAACAACTCATGAATTGTTCTCAATGAAGAATGTGATGACATTCATCTTCAAATTGTCATTTTCGGCACAGTAGATCATATAAGTATCTGATTCAAAATGGCCAATACCAGTCTACATCAGCTCACTAATGTCTACAATATTTACCTTCAAGTGCTCCATTTTATTTTGGCAATTTCCAATCTTCCTAGATTCATATCTTGGTATTTTTCACATTCTGAGTTTAATGTTGTTTGCAACTGTCTATTCCTATTTTGAGTTATGTCACATAAATAAATGACTCTGAAAGCTTTATTCCATCCATGCCATTAAGGTCATTGATTCTTCTTTGAGAAGGCCACTCTTCCCCAGTCATATTTTGAGTGTCTTCCAACTTGAGGAGCTCATCACCAAGCAGTATATGAGACAATGTTCTGCTAATAAGACTTTCTCCAGTCAATTTTTTTTTTTTCAGAGTAGATCTCCAGATCCTTCTTCTTAGTGCCTCTTAGTTTGGAAGCTCTGCTGAAACTTGTCTACCATCTATAACCTTGCTGGTATTTGAAATACCAGTGGCATACCTACCAGTATCACAGGAACATGCAAGACGCCACACAATGACAAAATGACAGATAAGTAAGTGGTGGAGCACAAATATAATCTAGTGGCAGGATAGGGTAGACTTCTTCTAGAAAAGACAGAAAACACAGAAACTATTCGAGAGTACAAAAACACAAATGATTACATAAAATTAAAAACTTTTGCATGGTAAAATATACCATAAGTATACCATAAAATATAATAGATTTAAAATGTATATTTGCAACCCTAGAAGGTAGGCAAAAATATCCATATTAGGTGTTCTAAAAACTGACAAACAAAATGAATAAAGAACATGATAGGTAACAAATACTCTAAATGGCCAATAAGCTAAAGAAAAGATGACAAAGTTTACTTGTTGTCAAAGAATTGCCAGTAAAGTATCACTAAAATTTTGCTTGACATCATTTCTCAAAAAAAGAAAGATAAAATACTATGTTCTATGAGCATCTAAGTGAAGGATGTACTTTCATTAATTGTTCAAGCAAATGTGTAATGCTACAGCTTTCTTGAGGAGGGATTTTGGCAATAGATTTAGAACTAAAAATATATATATATATATATCCTTTGATTCAGTAATTCTGCCCTTGAAACACTGTCCCACAGAAACCAAAACACTAGTAAATATGCATGTATAGTCCTGATGGGGTGCTGCAGGATAGTACACTGGACTGCAAGGTCAGTTTGAACTGTAAGATCGGCAGTTCAAGCTCACTAGCTGCTCTTTGAAAACTCTATGCAGGGTTGTTATGAGTCAGAATCAATTCCATGGCACTTAACAACAATAATGTATGGATGTAGGTACAGTATTCTTCTTCTTGTTAAGTGTCGTCAAGCCGGTTCTGACTCAGAGAGATCATGTATAAGGTTTCTGAGGAGTTGCTGGTGCTTTTGAATAGCCAACCTTATGGTTAGCAGTCCAGTGTTTATGCAAGTGTGCTTACTAAAGCACTATTTTCAAGGTTAAAAAAAAAAAAATCTGTAATTCACCAATAAGAAG